TTGAGGGTGTGTGCTGCTGGGAGCAACCTACAGTTCAGTGGTCAAGGTAGAAGGAGACTTGCTTTCCTGACTCGTGAGAGAATTCCAGAGGGCTATGATGGCCTCCAAGTGGGAGTCCTTTCAAACCCATAAAATGCCTACTAAGTGGATTGAGACATTCCCAAATGGCAGGCCCATTTTTAACTTCTCTGCCTGAGCACTTTAAATGGCCAAGAGACACTGTTATGACCGGCCACTACTACAGTAATTCAGGCTGTTCTCTACAGTCCTTTCCCCTGACGGGCTCCTACTGTCTGTTTGTGGAGGGTGCAAGATTACCTGTTTCTAATGGGTCACCAGAATATCCTCTGAAGCCACCAACAGTAAATTCCTTCTAAACAGTAAACTCCACATCTAAACTAGCATAATGGCAATCTCCAGGAAGTCACTCCACCTTCTGTCATCTAAATAATGACAGATCTAACTCACCCTTCACTGGGTCCAAGAATAATCTCTACAGAGCTCAGCATCCTGTGTGTTCTAGAACCATGCCCTTAGAGCCGCTGGCTCTGCAGCTTGCTTAGGCTGCTTCCACAATTGCAAAACCAGATTTTTTTTGTTTTTGGTTTTAAGACAGAGCCTCACTGTAGATGTGTGCTGTCCTTGAACTCACAGAGATAGATCTACCTGCCTCAGCCAACCAGTGCTGGGATTAAAGGTGTATGTCACCACACCCATCTGGCATAGCTACATTCTTAGAATAAATCTCTACCAACATTTCTTCCCCTCTCCTTCCCCTTCCTCTTCTCCTCTCATCCTATATGTTACAGAATAATCTTTTTGTACACTGTGAAGATATGTCTTTGCCAAGGGATCTTCTGATTAGTTAAATAAAAGAGCTGATTGGCCAGTAGTTAGGCAGGGAGATGTTAGGCAGGACAGCCTAACTCAGAGGACCTTGGGGAGAAGAAGGGCAGAGTAACAGTCACCAGCCAGACCGAGAGGAAGCAGGAGATGAACATGCTGTGCTGAAAAAAAAAAAAAAAAAAAAAAAAAAACCTACCACCATGCAGTTAGGAGTAGCTTAAAAAAAAAAAAAAAAAAAAAAAAAAAGGGTTAATTTAAGATGTGAGAGCTAGTAACGAGCCTAAGCTATTGGTAGAGCATTTATAATTAACAAGAAGTCTCCATGTGGTTATTTGGGAGCTGGCAGGTAGGACAGAGCTGACTGGAGGTCCCGACAGAAAACCCAGCCTGCAAATACCTTCTTATTTCTTAACTTTATCCATTCATTTAATTTTTTTTCCGGAACAGGGTCTGTCTATGTAGCCTAGGATGACCTTGAATTTCTGATCTTTAGGATCACATATTTGTGCTACCATACCCATTTTATGTGATACTGGGGATCTAATTTAGGGTCTCCTGCATGCTAGGCAAGCAAACTACCTAAGGTGCATCCCCAGTCCCTCATTCACTCATTAAAAGAAAAAGAAAATTGAATACTTACTGTATATCAGACACTTTTTTGTTTGGTTTGGTTTCAGGACAGGGTCTCTGTAGCCCAGGCTGGCCTCAAACCCTCAGCAAGCAATTCTGCTGCCTTGACCTTCCATGTTCTGGGATTAAAGGTGTTAGCCGCCATAGCCAGCTCAGACACTTTCATGTTCTTGACAATTCTCAGTGGTGGGGAAGAAAAGAAAAAGCAAATATTCCTGGCACTTCTACTGCTGTGTTTGGAAGAGAGGGTGGATCAAACTTGTTAGAAAGTGGTCAGGACAAAGCGGGTGGGGGTCTGAACAGAGTAGGATCCAGAGAAGCAAGAGACACTGGGTAAGGGATTGGTCTCCTGCAAACCACAATCACCTTCAACACTCAGGATTTACAATTCCTCATGCACCAGTGTCTCAGTTACACGGGCCTCACTTTTCTGACCGTCACGGCTTAGCCATGCTCGAATGTTCCCTCCAGTGGACGTTTCCTCTCTCCACTCTTCTAGGCATCATGATGAGGTCTCTCAGGGATTAGTCCCAGCCGAAAGCCAACCACATCCTCAGGAAGTGTCAGTGTTTACTGGGCCCAGGGCCTGAGGTCACCCGATAAAAGATTGAATGAGGTGCAGCCCATCAAACGATACCATCAGGCAAGAGACAGGAGGTGACATCCTCTGGCCTGTGCCTTTCTGTCATTTTCCACTTTCCCTTCTGTCTCCTTTCTTGGCTGTCCCCAGGATTCTGTGACACCTGGATGGGCAAAGGCAGCTTCAGCAGCTCAGAGAAGAATGTGTTTGAGAACAGCCCAGAAAACAGCTTTCCCCAAGACAGGGACAGTGGGCACAACTGTAGGGCATTTTTTTTTTTTTTTTTTTAACAGCCAATTGATGTGGGAAGGCCCACAATGCCCATTGTGGACAACAGCATCCCTGAGCATATAGATCTGGTGATAACAAAACAAAAAGTAACTGAGCAAGCCAGAGGAAAAGCAAGCCAGTAAGTACTGTTCCTCTGTGGTCTCAGCTTCAGTTCCTGCCTCCAGGTTCCTGCCTGACTTCTCTGTGATGGATTAGGACCTGGGAATTGTAAAATGAAATGAAAAACTCTTTCTTCTGAAAGCTGCTTTTAAAGGCCAGCGTTTTATCACAGCAGCAGAGAGGGGCAAACTAGGACAAGATTATTCCCATTCCCACTGCCTGGCTTGAAGAGTGAGCCAGTCACTATGGAGTGAATGAGTGAATCTGAGAATGAATGAATGACAGTTTCTTATCACTGATGCCTCTCCTGCTATCACGTTTTGCTTAGTGACAGGGCTGCTTTGCCTCCCTGCCAGTGCTAAGGTGACTTGGATCCAAGCGTTCACACCATTTTAAGGCCACACGGATGGTATAGTATAGAGTCATTAGAGTGTTTCCACAAAGAGATCAAATAAACCCGTCAAGTGAATTTTACGCACATCCTTTCAAACCCTTCACCAGGGCGGTATACGTGCCTTCCCATGCCTCTGCCATCGCTAGCCCCTTCCTCAGCAAATGTAGCCACGTTTTTTGATGTTTCTGTCTGTTAGGCTTGACGTCACCCAGCCCTTCACCTGGTTAGCAACTGGTTGGGACACTTCATGAGAAGTGACAGAGGAGGAGGAACTGGAAGACTACACAGATCTGCCTGCGGACTTCCCAATAAGAGCAGAACTGAGAAGTGACTCCCCAAAGGCCGGTTAGATTCCAGGGGCCATGGGGTCTGTCTGCACAGGGACATCCCCCTTTGCTGTAACGATTCACCTGATATCTAGGACACTTGAGTTTTTGTGTGTGTGTGTGGGGGGGGGGTCCACAAAGCTTCCCAGAGTGCATACTAGAAGGTGGTCAATTTCCACTGGAGAAATATGCCCCGTGTGTAAAGTGGAGTCAGTTCTGTCCCCAACAGAGAAAAACAGGACACTTGGGTGACCGTGGACTGGAGCTGGAAGGCCCAGGAGGGAAATCTGAACAGCGCAGGGCCTGCAGGCAAAATGTCTCAGCAGAGACCAGCATATTCTCAAGCAGCTTCGAGTGGTCATACTATAGACTGGGGGCTTCCCCCCACAGGTAAGCAAGGAGGATGGCAGAAACCTGCCTGCATTCCACAGAACTTGAGGAGACGTTGAGGGGACAGATGGTATAGGCCCTGCTGGAAGTATGGGAGACCTGAGGTTGGCATTCCAGCTGCACCGTTTAGCAGCTGGGTGGCTTTGGACCAGTCCTTTGCTGGCCCTCCACTGTCTTCGTTGAAGGCTAGGAATTATGTGTTTCCTATTGGAGGTATGGGGAAGGCATCAGTACTTTGAAGGTACCATCTTACACTAGGCATGAGGAAGAGGTGCCTGTGCTATTTAGTTGATAGTGTTTAAAAATCTTCCGTTACATTTAGGTAGCCATCACTGGAAAGGGGAAAGCGCTTTCCAAAGTGATGCTTTCTGCTCTGAAAATAGAAGTCAGAGGCGCCGGTTTTATTTTTCTTCTTGGTGCAAACTACTACGGCACCATTGCTATTAGCAGTCTGGGCAGAATCATGACCTTCTAACTGGCTGGTATGGAAGACTGAAGGAATACGTTCAGTTGCCAAACCTTTCAAAGAGGGTTCCCCAACCACAGCACCTTGTCATGAATTAGGAGCCAATGGGATTGTCTTCAAGGAGCACCAGCAAGATTTAACTTACCGTCCAGGTGGGCCACAGTAATGCAGAACCGAAGGGTCGCCAGAGAGCCGGAAGGGTGGGGTGGGGGTGGGGCTGGGAACAGAACTGCAAGGGAAAGGCTTCCTCCTGGTGAGAAAGACCTAGAATCAGTCAGTCCCCCTGATGGCACAAGAGCTGATCTGTGAATCAATCTAGGATCATAATTTACTTTTGGTTTATGGGATTTGTGAATTTTCGCATTTGTTTTAATTTGTAATTAAGTTTTCTCTACGAGGCACACCATATGCCACCATTAATTCTCTCTTGTTGATTTCTTAGGAGATACATGAGTGCATATTTTGATGTAATTTTGGAGGTCTTTTGAAAATCAGATGACTACGTGGTGAACCATATGGGGCTTTGTTATTTAAAACACAAATTATAAAGCTAGAGAAAGCAAAATGGAAAAAAAAAAAAGCACTGCTAACAGGAAAAAATTGGGGAAAACTGGTTTCAAGCGCACTTACTGTCCACTCTCCCCCCCCCCTCTCCCCCGGTATTCTGAAATCTCCGAGGATCCCGCGATGTCTCTCTCTCTCTCTCTCTCTCTCTTACCTTCTGTGAGCGCACACTATATACCACAGGTGCACGGAGCCAACCTCCCCGGCCACGCTTGTGCTTTCCTCCCGGGCTGCACATTCTAGCATCTGCCTTCTGGGAGTTCGGCTGAAGCTAGCGTCTTTCTTTGCACACCCAGGCTTTGGCACTGAGCTCCGCTTTCTCCGCACCCAAGGCGGCTCGGCTTTCCCGCTCGTGCTTTCCCGGGGCTCCCCCTCCCCGGCCGCCCCACACTACGTGCAGGCTGCAGAGCGGGCCGCGGCCCGGACGGCGAGCGCTAGGACCCAGCAGGACTCCGGGCCCGGGTGGGAGCCGAGCCGCCGACCCCGGGCGGGCGCCGGGCGCTGGAGCCGGGTGTTCCGGCCGCGATCGGTGCAGCTCGGCTGGGAGACGGCGCGACCCGGCGGCGGGGCCCCCCGCGAGTCCAGCGCCGCCACAGCCCCCCAATGCGGCCGCGAGAAGCAGCGGGGGGGCCGGCGATCGAAGGTAAGGAAAATGCGGCTCGCTGGCTGCCTAGCGAGCCTCTGCCCGGGTTAGCATTGTCACCCTGAGCCTCGCTGCCCAGCCTGCCCGCATTTGGGGGCACCCCTGGCTTTTTATCTTAAGGTGTCCGCCCCCATCTGTGCACCTAGTTTCGGATTGATTTACAGCGTGCAGCCCAGAATGGGAAAGATGCAGGGATGGCGAGTTGCTTATTTTCATTAGTTTTTGTCTCAAAAGTAAGTTCATTAAAAAAAAAAAAAAGATAGAAAGAAAAAGAAAGAAAAGTTTTTTCCCTCTGGAATTTGTAGATAGCTGGTTACATATTTTTATTTTTAAAAAAATCGCAGACAATGGATATTTATAAAAATTACCGAATAATTGATGTAATTCTGTTTATGACTTCTGAGGGAGGCGGCTTTGGAGGGGTCCCCGGGCATGACTTGTATTTTCAAGGAACTAACGTGTTAAATGTGGAGTTTGGCTGGGGCAGAGTTACAGCTTCACTGTCGTAACTGTTTTGCTATCAATTATAAACAGAGTGTCGGATCTATGGGCAGTTTAAACCTCTTTTTTCAAATACCGGAGCTGCATATCCCGGTGTGAGTATCCGTTGAAGGAAGCAGGAATGTTTCTGGTTTTGGAGAAAAACGTTGCTTTGAGGAGAAAGAGCCAGATTCCCTAGCCCGGGAGACTATTTTTCATGCTTTGTTTATAGTCTGGGAATGACATTTGGGGAAGGGGAACGCGGTCTTTCTTGGGAGCTTTTAATCGTGGGGGTTATTAATTTATTTAATTTATTAGTTTCAATTGGTTGGGCTCCGGGAGCCTTCCGTCACCAGGTTGTGCTAGCGTCGGGACACATGATTGCAAAGACGAAACTGCTAGCTCGGAAAGGACTGGACCGGGCTGGTGGAAGCTCCCCCGTGGCGCTGTCGTATGCTGGGTGCTACTGGCTCATTGAAGAAAAAGGGAATGGCTTTCCGAGCTGAGGAAGACATCAGTATTTCCCTTTTGTTCCCTGTTTTTCCATTGATCGCCAGCTCTGCCTTAGCCAGGGGGGAGCAGAGCCCTGAAGACAGCAGGGATGTCTCCAGCCCGCTCTAACTCTCACACTGATTGGTCAGTTAGATGGAGACTTAGGAAAACAGTCACCCGAAACCTTCTTTTAAGACCTTGCCATCATTTTTGATCTGCCTTCTTGTGCATGGGTTTCTGCGCGGTTGCTTTTTAAGCTGGGTGCATCTGGCTCGCTCTGGGTGTCTATATGTTTAATTTTTGTTGTTGTTTCTATCCAGATAAAGTAGGCCATTTTGGTGACAAATTTCTTTGCAGATGTCAGCTTCTAGCTTGCACGGATAGATGCGGGACTTCACGATACAGTCTCAATGATTTTTGTTCGTAAGTTGTAGAATGCAAAGTTGCTCAACTTGGTTTTAATTTTTCCTATTTTTTTTCCATCTGAGCATTTAAATAGCAACGCCAGCAGATGGATGCTTAACTGTATCATTACTTTGATAATTTTAAGTGCTTTGCGAATTAGCATGTTTCTCGAGCTAAATCTGTCTTTAGACAGTGAAAGAGAAAGCAGACAATGAGGACCAAACAATCATGATCAGCTTGCACATTATTGCAAGAAATCCTGGCGTCTGCTTTGAGCAGAACACCTTCACACCCACGAAAAGGGGTGTTCTTTACCACAGAAGACTGAATTAGGGAGCATGATGAAACGGACCCCCGTGGACATCTTCATTTGAGCCTTGAAGTGGCTCATTGAAGAAGCCAGGTTCCAGAAGTTGTTAACTGTATAAACACTTTTCTGATTGGCTTAAAAATTTAGACACAGGAAGTAGATGGTGTCTGGTAACCCAGGAATGGAGACATGGTTGTCATAGAAACCGAGAAGTGTCACCCCACCCCACCCCCACTACACATGCATTCACTACCATGACCACACTTAAAAACAACAGCAACAACCCCTGCATATCATCACAGACGCTTGGAGAACACGCTGGCTTCTGTGAGCCTTCCCACAACATCTGTTGAAACCTGAGACCATGCCTGTCAAACCAAGGTCATTTTACAACATCAACCAAACTGTGCTCTCCTGGATTTCATAACTCTATTTTTATTGAAAGTAGTTCAGGGGAAAGCCTGAAAGCCAGGATGTGCATGCATGCTTACTTAGCATTTTGCAACCTCTGAGTTGTGCAAGGGGAAGGCTGAAAAGAATACATTTGAGCCACTGATTTTGGAATTGTGTGTCTACTATCCACTGTCAGAACAAGTCTTTTCAGAGACCAGAGTGCTGCCGATGGAGGAAGGGTCATCTGGGGAAGGAATGATGAAATGTTTTCCTGCTCGAAAGCGGGTTCTAGGCTGAGCTGGGGCATTTGGTCGTGAAGGTCTGTGGTATTTTGGACAGGTTGTCTCTTGGGCTGCCTGAACAGAAACATGCCCACTGCCTGGTGCTCCAGGGAGCAGAGCAGGGAGAGCAAGCACTCCTAAGTGGAATGGGGACTGTTTCCAGACTTCAGATACGACTGCCTGTTTGAATTAGAAACATTTCCTCTCTTGTGAATGGAGAATGGGGCTTTCATTTTTGAGGCAGTTTTAGGGGTCCTCCCCCTCCCAAAGCCACCAGCAACCTAAGTCAAGCTGTATCTCTTACTCATGAGGAATACCAAGGAGGTAAGTTTAACCCCTCCCCCATGCCCCTGTTCCTTTTATTTGCTAAGTGGAAAATAGCCAAGCATGCTTCCCCTAAAATTTGACTCTGAGGCTTTTCGGTAAAACTTGTCAATATAAAAAAATCAACACATTTGCTAGACTTTGACCCATCATATCAATGTCAATCTTTAAATGGCAAAGTTTCTTTTTAAAGATTTATTTTTATTATCATTAATTTTGTGTGGGTGTCTTTGTTGTCTGCGTGTGACAGGGGACACATGAGTGACTGTGCCAGCAAAACTAGAGGGATCTTATGGAGCTGGAGTTACAGATTGTTGTAAGCCACCTGCCGTGGGTGTTGAGGACGGAACTCAGGTTCTCGGGGAGGTACCTCTTAACTTCTGTGCCGTCTCTCCAGACCCCTGAATTTTAAGTTCTTTATATTTGTTTAGAAGTTAACTTCCCTCCGTACATTTAGTACTGCACTGGTTTTTCTTAAAACAGTTTTAAAACTTACTTAAATTGCAGTTTGATCCTTCTAAAAGAACATCAAATCTCCCTTGTTTTCCCTCAACTGATTGCCTCAAGGAGGGGGGAGAAACAGAAGAATTCCTAAATATGTTTTAATGTCAATTTAATATCCTGCGTAGATGGTGTAGCAAACAGCTTAGGGCCATGCAGTGTCTATCATTTGAATTCGGGTGTATTTTACAGTCCCACATTATCAAATATTTAGGGTTAGCAAGTTTAGTTTAATGGCATGACTGGTCTCTCTCAGCAAGATTTCCTGTTGAAAACTTTCTTATCTGCAAGTACTGCAAACAGCCATTGCAGGAAACCTGTCAGTTGCTTGTTTTTACAAACTGAAGGAAATGAATGAGACTTGTTGGTTTCTAGAATTTACCTCCATTCTTCACAGCCTGCCCCGAATTTTGCTCAGAACAGTTCAAAGAAGGTGACTTTGGAACTGTACAAAGAATTTGCTTCAGATTGTTGGCGCATCTGTGAATTCCCCCTTTTGACTTTAGAATTGGAACAATTAATCCTTACACTGTCATGTAAAGCTTATTTCACCAATACAAATTAACAAGATGTTCAATAAAGTCCTAATTCATTTTCAGTTGTCAGAAAGTTGTTCACATAATCACTGGAGCTGGCACTTTGTGATGCCTGTGCCAAATTTTTAACAGTGGCTCCAGAATACCAACCAAATGCCAGTCTTAATTTTGGATTACTGCATAAAGGTAGAGAGAGAGAGAGAGAGAGAGAGGGAAGGAGGGAGGGAGAGAGGGAGGGAGAAAGAGAAACTCTCTCTTGCTTATGCGGGGAAACTGGTTCATGAGAAACACATGCCAGGTGTGTGCCAACCCCACTGGTAGCAGACAGTGGGCTTATGAAAGACACTTGAGAGGAAAACACATTATAGCTTTGAAAACATTAACTATTTGAAAGGATTATCTATTGCATTTTTTGACATTGGACATACATGTGTTCAATTGCTTTAATTCATGGATATTCCAAAAGCTGGAAAGGTGAGGGGAAGAGCTTTACAGGCTGTAAGTACATTGACACCCCCCACCCCCACCAAGAGAACCACTTATTGGATCGGGCCACACACATTTTTGTAGAGCATTTCTGTTTTATACATAGCACCAAGTAGAATCTTATGCAAGCCCCTGATATCTGAATGGAATGAAAGCAGACCCAGCTACTTTAGAGGAACCAGGAGACCACACTCTAGGCAGTACCTGGGGCTGGTCCTAGAACCCAGAACCCAGCCAACATTGTTGCAAACCCACTGCTTTTAAAATGCCCCAGATACTCTCCTAAGGAGGCTCGAGGGAAGTGCCTTTGGGGTCCTGCGTCAGCTCTGCCGAAGAGAACTTTTGCCTTGACAATTTTACAGTACCGTTGTTAGAGTGAAGAAGGGAAAAGGTACCCATTAATTGTATCTTACAACACACCCCAAGAAACCACTAGGAACCCAGAAAAAGGTCTGACCAGTCGCTGTATGGAAAGTTCTGGGCTTGATAACAAGAGAGATGAAAGGGTCCACAAAGGAAGGCCTCCTTTATAAGTTATAGGAACGTCATGTGGACGTGTCCAAGATGGTCCACGGCCAACCCGCTGGAATGCTTGGGTTCAGTCTCTGTCAGTGTTGTTCTATCAGGGGTAGAGATGGCTCATATAGTGTCACTTGTGGAGGGAAGGTTTGCCAAGCTGTGTACATCGGCTTGGCAGACTCAGGAGTGTTGAGTAAAATGATAACACACAGATGAGATTTGAATATCATCAAATAGATGCAGTTATCTCTTCTCCTATGAGAATGTTCTAGG